GTCGACACTTTCAATTCTAATTAGATTTCTTTCATCCCTCTCTTTAATTCTAAGCGTTAACAAGGTGAGATTAAAAATCCTTGGTCGACTTCTGTCACGTTGGCAGCATAAGCATAATCGACAATAGGTATTATTCAATGGTTTCGTCTGACTGTCGAAAACCGGAAAAGGTAACAAAATTTCAAAAAGCGCTCAGTTTTCTTGCAGAATTGCGTGAATATCATCACAAATATATCTAATATATAGTTTTAGCTAGGGCTAAAAGCGAGGCTCCCATTAATAAATTTATAATCATGTTAAATCAAACAATTAACTTGTATTCCACAATTCAGTTAACTTTAGAGCACATTTATGTGACTTTGAGGGAAAGGCTAAGTGATTTTAGAGATAGATAATTTGCAAACAGCCCAAGAGTGAACCAAATCTTACATCGAGTTGATACCCTCATGTGTACACCCAAAAAATGGTAATCATCTTCGATCACATTTAAGAGCCACGATGGCTCTTGATCACTGTAGACAAGAGAGGATAAAGGGGACAGAGAAGGCATCCCCCATACACACCCTATTCCATAGGTAATTCTTCTCGAGTTATTTTTAACACCACAACTCTCAAGGGGGATTAGACAACAGCCAATCACATAGCGCGAATGTGTTGCTCGTGGATGACCCACGCTCAGAGCCACGCGCCCTTCACGAATTGACGCAGAACAAAATGGCGGAAGACGCAGAGAGCGATATTGCTATTTGTTTTGTCGACGAAAACGACTAAAGAGAGATTTCTGCTAAAGCTGTGTCAGCAAAACGGAAATTAAAAAAGAATCGCCCTTCCTCTCCTGTATAGAGCTAACAGTACAGCAGGGAAATCCTTAACACACTGAATATTCTCTCAGGATCATTTATAATTTACAGTTGGAAGAGAGTAATTTCTGGTTTGATATTTATTCTTTTATTAGTCTCTCATTATTCAACAAAAATAACACTTGGCGTCCTACTTGCTTTATTGTACAAACGACCAGTGTCAATAGACCGGCGAAATTTCTCATTTTATTAAAGCACTGAGCAACTTCGAGTTAAACTGATTTCACGGGTTGTCAAAGAGTCTAGCCATTTTCCCAGGAAAGCGCCGACTCATTTCGCTTCAATGTTCAGGAATGCTCTCGATCTCTTTACGCTTTCATTGCCTTTCGCCCGACATGTTTTGCATGGCGTTTAGTCATGCGAAACCTCCACGAAACATCCACGAAGCGCGCGAGGTAACTTTATCCCGATTCTAAAAATAACTTGAGACAAATTACCTATGGAATACGGTGTGTAGGGGGGATGCCTTCTCTGTCCCCTTTATCCTCTCTTACCGTAGATTAATTAGGGCTTGAAAAAAAATCAGGCCGAATTTTTTGCGTTCGACAAGTTTACTTTGCAAAATCTTGCCAAAAAATCTGGGTGCGTGTAAACCAACCTTTTATACCATTTATACATCACATCTGAGGTGAAACAGTACTATGAGGCACTGTTTTTATCATACAGACCAGAAAAAAAATTTCGTAATACAAATTGCAGTCATTCAATATTAAGGACGATGGAAGTACGCGTTGGCTTTTAGCTAAACCGTTCAAAAAAATTTCCAAAACCACCTGTACGGCCATCCTGTCCTCACTTTTGTAAAGCAAGCTTTGGTAAGAGTTTGAATGAACATTTACAGAGTTACGCTCCAACATAATAAAGAATTCGTTACGTTTATTTTTTATTGCAACCGCAGTGAGCGAGCCTGAAGCGAGCGAAGGAGGCAGCTCTCTAATCGGCAAAAAATTACATTATAGGGGCATTCAATCACGTTTTCTTACCAAACGCAAGGAATTGTGGTTTTGCGGGAACTCAAAGATTTTGGATGCGCAATGAACTCGCAAGGAATTGTGGTTAAGTGCAAATAGTAGATTTGGGATGCGCAGTAGACTTGCAAGGATAGATAGATAGATAGATAATCTTTATTTATTCACGGTACAAAATTCGTCAGCTTTAAAAATGCCTAATACTAATATAATAAAAATATTTAAATAAAAAAGCTGCTTTCCACGAATGCCGTGCCTTACAGTTCTTTGAGTAATCGTTTAAATTGCCCAAGGGACTCTGCTTCCCTTAAGTTACAAGGAAGACTGTTCCAGAGAATGGCGCCACTATAGCTGAAGCTGTTTTTGTAATAGTTTGTGCGCGGTAATGGAATATTGAGTTTATTTTCAGAGTCCCTTAGGTTATATGCGACTTCTCGCCTTTCAAATTTAGAACTAAGATAGTTTGGAGCCAACCCGTGCAGAGACCTGTAAACCATCGTAGCTCTTTGAAATTGTTGCTGGCAAGCTAGGTTTTTCCACCCTAGAAGTTTGAAAAGGTGACCAGCATCTACGTCATAGCTTGAGTAGGTCAAAACACGGGCTGCTCTGTTTTGTAGCTTTTGAACCTTATTCCGTAAGGTTATCCCACAGTTTCCCAAACAATGTTGCAATAATCAAAGTGTGGCTGTATTAAAGCTTGATATATTAGTTGTAAGGTCGCCTGAGGGACAAGGTGCCTTATTCGTTTTATGGCCCCAATACCAGAAGCGACTTTCTTTGTTACTTTCTCGATATGGCCACTCCAATCAAGTCTGTCATCGATGGTCACTCCAAGTGATTTTGCAGTAGTGACCTGGCTAACTTCAAAATCATTAATTGCAAATGTCGGGGACTCTGTGAGAGTACTTAGCCTCTGCCTAGATCCGATAAGCATAAATTCGGTTTTAGTCATATTTAGAGTAAGTTTGTTTGCTCTCAGCCAATTGTGAACATTTTCTAAATCTTGATTTAGATGCAACTGAATATTGTCTGCATTATCACCTGCGTACGTAAGGTGGGTGTCATCAGCGTACATCCTCGGCTCACAGTTTGAAAGACAGTTTGGAAGATCGTTGATGTATAACAGAAATAATAATGGACCTAAAATCGTCCCCTGGGGTACACCACAACTTAATAAACAGCTTTGAGAGAGCGATCCGTTGATGGAGCACATTTGAGTACGATTCTCTAAATACGACTTAAACCATTGGTGCGCATTACCATATATGCCGTAATTGCTTAATTTTGATAAAAGGATCTCATGGTCAACTGTGTCGAAGGCTTTTTTGAGATCTAAGAAAACAACGGCGTTGATTTTACCGCGGTCAATATTGTACGCCCAAGTGTCCGTGGCCTCAAGGAGAGCCGTAACAGTTGAGTGAATAGCGCGAAAGCCTGATTGATATTTACAGATTATATTGTGCTCTTCTAGGTAGGCATATAATTGATCATAGACGATTCTTTCAAAGACCTTGGCCATAACTGAGATCACCGAAATTGGACGATAATTGTTTAAGTCCTCCCGATCGCCTTGTTTAAAAAGTGGGGTGACCTTTGCGCATTTCCAGTCATCCGGAAATATGCCTTGACTTATTGACTGGTTAAAAATATCACGGATAGGAATGCAAATGAGATCTGCACATTCCCGAATGAGCCTAGCAGATATCTTGTCAAGGCCAGCTGCCTTTGACTTGTTTAGACGATTCAAAAGTGAGAGAACTTTATTTGTACTGGTCGGATGGAGCTGAAACCGTTTATCTGTGCCAGTGAGGTACTTTTGATAACCATCACTATTTGAGGAATCAATATTGCTAGCAAGTTCTGGACTGATAGTAGCAAAGTGGTTATTAAATTGGTTCGACAGAACAGTTGGATTTGTTATTGATACTCCATTTACTTTCAGAGATGTCACCGATTTTTTCCCAGATTTTCGCGAAGTAAGTTCATTGATAGTCTGCCAGGTCTTTTTAGAATCGCCCGTATGCTTGTTAAAACTATTTTGATAATAGGCTTGCTTGGCTAATCTGATTTCGCTATTTACTTTATTGCGTTGTTTTTTAAAAAGTGACCAGTCATTTGAATCATTCGATTTACTTGCTTTAATCTTTAGAATATCCCGATCATGCATTCGTTTCTTAAGCTCAGATGTAATCCATGGGGAACTACGCGTGCGAACACGCATTGTCCTCAAGGGAGCATGCTTGTTAACAATAGATAGAAACGAGCATTTCCATTGTAGCCACATTTGATTGGGATCAGTTGAATTGTATATGTGATCCCAACAATGAGATGCAATATCATTCCGAAAATTTATTCGATTAAATTTTCGAAAGTTTCTGTAGGTTATAGCATTGTGCCCACCAGACATTCCATTCACGGATAATTTTCGATAGGCAAAAACTATGCTATGATCGCTAATACTGATATGACGAACCCCCGAACACACAACTTTATCTGGACAATTAGTATAGATTACATCAATCAAAGTTGCAGAAGTCGGAGTTATTCTGGTTGGTTCAGTGATAAGTTGCTGTAGACCATAAATATCAGTGATATTCATTAATTTGCATGTATTATTGTCATATCGAGTAGCAATCATGTCGCAGTTAAGGTCTCCCATTAGAAAATATTCAATATTTTCGGAATCGAGTTTCCCAATTAAAGTTTCGAAAGGTGAAAAAATACCAATAGGAGAATCAGGTGGTCTATACCACGTGGCAACAACAAACGGTTTAGATCTAGGTTTTGAATTTCCAGACATAGATTTTCAAGAGTGTCCATGTTTAAATCATTTCGTATGGTAAAATTTATTGAACTTTTCACATAGAAACACACTCCTCCTCCACCGTTTGTAATTCTATCACGTCGAATTATATCATAGCCAGAGATGTTGACCTCATTGTCGCTAATAGTTTCATTGAGCTTAGTTTCATTAATCGATAAATATCTATTTCGTTATGCGCTAGAAGAATTCTAAGTTGATCTATGTGTGTGATTAATTTATTGATATTTAAAGAGGCTAATTTAAAACCTCGTTGAGATGGCAACACTGAGATAGGCTCATGAGATTCCTCAGTATTGCGTTTTGTACATCGAATAGGCACGGCATCGGTAGATAGCGCATCATTTCAACCTAAAACTGTTGATTACCTTTAAAATTAAGATGTAGTCCGCCCTTGTTAAGTTCCTTTTCGGAGATGTTTTGATGCTGGATAAATTTCCATCCATTCTGCCGGCAGTAGAACTTCAGTTGTTTATTAACTGTTTTCACGGCTTCATTGAATCCGTCTCTTCTTTGCACGAGCTCAGATATAATTACTGTGGTATCGGATGAGTTTTCAATTTGTCTGGCGAGATCTACCACTGAGCCGGCAACTTGTTGTGGTTCTTTACTTTTGAGATCATTAGTGCCCACATGCAGAATTACTTGGTCCGGTGAAAGCTCCAAATTAGGTTTAAGGTAATCCTTCATAGCTTTGGTGGTGGCACCGGAGAACGATTTAACCACCACCCGATGACCAACGGCTTTTCCTAAACGTGTACCTTGGATATTCTTTATCATAGAGTCTCCAATCAACAAGGTAGTACTTTCGTTTGCTGGCGTGGAATTTTCCGTGTCATCATGGGCGTTGGACTGTGCTTCACTGATCTTCTTTCTCCGTGTTTTGTTCTTTTTCTTTTTCTTTTTCGCGTCAACGGTTTGCCATTCGTTTTCAGGATTAGAGCTCTCATTAGACTGGGCATTATCACTCTTTGAGTTTCCTTGAGGGGCAGTTACCTCGTAACTCTGATTCCTCTGTTGTTGACGCTCTCCTACGTTCATTTCCTGCATAATAAGCTTTAATGCTAATTTTAGGGAGTCGTTTTCCTGTTCCGCGGACGATGCGCGGGTCTCAAGAGACATAATTTTCATTTTCAGCGCATTAATTTCTTTATCTTTGTTGCATAATGCTGCCTGTAACTTTTCACACCTCCCTTTCTTTTCATAAGTTCTTCGTTGCCAATATTTTCTTGATTTTGTGGATATCTCGATAAGGAATTTGTATTATCATCGACCTGCTTCTTTAATACCGTCAGGCTGTATTTTATGTCTCTCAGCTCAGCAAATAAAGAATTTTCTGATCCCGAGTCTGCTCCATTATCCGTTGTCTGTTGGTTTTCATTTTGGCTTGTGGGTCGATTCGGCGAATCGGTTGTCATCTCCGGCTTGTCCTGAACCAGTTTGAACAATTTTTCTTTTAAAAATGGACCATCTTGTCCTTGGAAAACAAGAGTAAGTTGTTTCTTGAAGTACCAGGTTATAACAAGCTTATCATTGCAACTTTTGAATTGCTTATTATTTCCGCCGGGCGACGTCCACTTTCCTTGCTGCTGAAGACAATTTTCAACAAAATTCTTCAAGGATTCTAAGTCGCTTGTCCATATTAACCGTTCTCCGTTCAGCTGGAGGTATTGCCAATCAGAACCATCAATTTTAAGCTGGTATAACTCGGTGTCTGGCTCCCCAACGGCTTCGTCGTCGGAGCCAGAAATATCATGACCTTCCGCCATTTTCATCACACGTTGAGTGAGTGAGTGAGTGAGTGAGGGAAGTGAGTGAGTGAGTGAGGGAATTGTGGCTATGCTCGAATGGGAGATTTAGAATGCGCAGTGGATTACCACGTGCTTTCTTCTTACACTGATTTTCAACTGCAATTTGAATTATTTGCAATCTCGTTAAAGTAAAGAAACAACAGGTCTAATTAGAAAACAAAAAATGTTTGCACGTGCTGCATACTTTTGCAGTTGGCCGACACTTGACCGAAAATCGAAAGCATTCATGATAAATTTATCATAGTCGATGCCAAGGCAGAATGAAAGAAAAGTTCGAAACCTCTATATATTTGGGTTGGTTTTCGGAAAACAGAACACGCTTAGACCAGCAAAATAGCGTAGCATATGGACAAATAAATAGCATCACTGCATGGAGCAAGCAGCCGTTTTATATCTTTCAAGGATATTTTCACAAAATGCAATATTTTATAAGTCCGATATTTTGACTATAGTGATTAGGGTTCAGCACTGAAAATACTAACTGAAGCACTAACCAAACTGATTAGGGTTAAGCCCTGAGAATGGTGATTAGGGTTAGAAGATAGCTTCTATTACGGGTTGGGGTTTACGATATAATATTTGAATAAAATCGCCATCTTGCAGAGAAACCACGGTGGTCTAGTGGTTAGTGATATGCAGACCCTATGATCCGGGATCGAATCCGCTCATATTCGAGTGAATATTTTTTTCCTTTGAAATTGAAGAGACTTACACTTTGACAACATTTGTCGATCATAAATTAAGTCTCTCACAGTCTGTTCTTAATTGACGTGATAGTTTGGTCTGGCTGGGATTCTTCGATTTGAAAAAAATTATTGAAAAAAAAAAGACGGACTGCCGGTCATTTAGTGTTTTGAAAATCTTGACCGGTTACCGGCCATATAGCCGCAACCTTTACTATTTTTCAAGCAAATTTTTCTTCTGTTTTAAGAGGGAATCAAACAAGCAGCATTAGAGCTACGAGCCCGAAGTTTATGTGTCATGTATTTATCAAAAATTGAACATAACTGCCCTCCAAAATTGTTTAATTGGTGTTTGATTCGTGACATGGTTGGCCAAGTTAATGGGTTTTCATGGTCGTTTCTCAAACCTATCTTGTAGCGCACATCACAGTCGAACAAATTTACTTAAACTTGGCAGATGAAATAAACAGTCTTAAACTCAAGAATTTTAAGTTTCGTGGAAATCGCTCGATTTTTGTGCGAACAGAAAGACTGAATACCATAGTTAGAAATCGCCAAATCAAAGCTTCAAAATAACTTTCAGTCATTCAGTCACAGTTGCAAGCGAGAATGATTGATATACATAATGTACAGATTTAGCCAGGGCTAAAAGCGAAGCTCCCGATAATAAGTTTATAATTTAAATCAAACAATAAACTTGTAATCCACAGATCAGGGCACATTCATTTGACTTTTGAGGCAAAGGCTAAGTGATTTTCGAGAAAAATGATTTGACAGTCCAAGAGTGAAACAAATTTTACATCGAGTTATTAAATAGTCTATTTGTACACCCAAAAATAGCAATCATGTTCGATCACAGTAGATTAGGCCTGGAAAACAAATAGACTTATTCGTGTATTGTATTTGCATTAGCTGTTGCATCATAATGTGGCATTCACCAGTCTCTCCAACATTGCTCCATTAGAGAGACTATGGATAATTGGACAACCCGAAATATAATTTTAAGAAACACACGCGCCACGATAGTCCTTGGTGGCAGCCAATTTACACGTTGCATTCCTCTGTCTAAAAGAGAGGCCAAAATAAAAAATCAGGCCGGATTTTCTGTCTTCGACAAGTTTAGTTTACTAGTAAATCTTGGCGACGAATCTGGTGGCGTGTAAACCAGTCTTTTAAACATACTTTTTCTCATCACGTCTCAGGTAAACAGTACTCTGAGGCCCTTTTTTTTATCATACAGACCTCGGACAGAATTTGTTCTTTTTTGCCCTATTTAAACCTCTAACTCTGCAGTTTTTCACAATTTTGCAAGAGAATTTGCACTCATTCAATATCCACGACGATCAAAGCACGCGCTTCCTTTGCACAACAAATTATAGCATTGAATTATAAAGCGTTTTCATGAAGAGAATTCTCAGATATAATATATAGATTTAGCCAGGGCTAAAAGCGAAGCTCCCATTAATAAATTTATAATTTAAATCAAACAATAAACTTGTAATCCACAAATCAGTTAACTTTAAGGGAAAGCTAAGGCTAAGATATTTTAGAGTGAAAAAAAAAATCTTACATCGAATTGATAGCCGTATATGTACACCCAAAAAATAGTAATCATCTTCGATCACATTTTAGAGCCATAATGGCTCTTGATCACAGTAGATTAGGCCTGGAAAACGAATTTTTGGAAAACAAATCAGGCCGAATTTTTTGCGTTCGACAAGTTTAATTAACAAAATCTTGCCAACAACTCTGGGAGCGTGTAAACCAACATTTCATACTTTTTATACATCACATCTGAAACAGTAATATGAGGCGTTGTTTTTATCATATAGACCTCAGACAAAATGCAGTATTTCACCATTTTTTAAGACAAATTGCACTCATTCAATATTCAGAACCGTACGAAGCACGCGTGACCTTTAAGCAAAACCGTTCAAAAAATTTCCAAAATCACCTAAACGGCCAGCCGGTTCTCACTTTTGACAAGCGCCAAATTTTCAGTGAGCATTAAAAGAGTTACGCTTCAACATAATAAAGAATTTATTGTGTTTATTTTTTTTATTAAATGGTTTTATAACGATGTGTAATCTTAAAAAGCGTTTGATACGCGCGGCATTTTGAGTACTCCTGCCAGCGTTTTTATGAACTACTGAAAATAAACGGCAAAGCGATTAAAATTGTAAGAGACTACTAACAATCAATAAAAGAAATGTAATTCGGTTAAACATTTACAGAGACAACAATTTTCATTCACGAAGACAAGTATTAAGGCGTCTGTAAAAATCCTGAGTCTTTAAGCTTAAGCTTAAAGCTTTTAGCCGGCTTCCTGGTGTTTACTGTTTTCAAAGATGAACTCGAGGCAAGAAAATCGCTCAAAGCTTTCTTTCTACGGCCAAAATTATAATACTCTTCGGAACGTTTTTTCGTTCTATATGCGGAGAGAAAATATCGACTAAAGGCTTTTTAAAGTTCTGTAAGCTTGTATATACTAGATCAGATCATTGTCTCAGATCTTAATACAAACGTGCATAAATTAGCCTCATAAACTGCGCTCGACTTCATGAAATTAGATATAAAAAAACAAACAAACATACTCTGTATACAATAATTACTTAGGCTTACCATTCGAGATGCAGCTCTTGAAAGCTATAAAGTAAGGCCAGAATCGCTTGAGGGACTTTTCAACCCGCATCCAGCAAGGTAAAAACGAAAGCGACGCATCCGAAATCGGATTTCCAACTTTGGCAACCGGCGCATTTCCCGACCAAAAATTCAATAAACAAACCAGCCATGAATCAAAGAAGACTGTTGATAGCAGCTGTATTTCATTTTAAGCATCCAGTGGAAAAAGACAAAAAAACATCACAAGTTGACAAAATACTCTGTCAGCTTCAGCTGTCAAACTGAAAGTAAACAAGGTTCAAGATGCTGTATAAATTTTCTGCATGAACTCACCTGTCAAATTTTGACCAATCAGAGCAAAAAAATTGGACGGTCGTAGAGCATGATCAACGCGTGACTATGGTGAGAAAAGTGAAAAGCCTCTGTCTTCCCTGCTTGTATTTTTAAATGACTGGCTGAATTTTCGAGTCCGAGATCAGTTTGAAATCAAAATGTTAATAGCGCGAGGCCATAGTGACATTAACACAACACTTTCTGTCATCATGTCATTATTTTGCTGCCGTTCTCTTTGCCTTTGTATTTCTCTTTCGCGTTGCCTTTGTCTGTTCATTCTAGCTCTGTCTCGTTCTGCTTGCCGGCGTTTTTCACTATAATTTTCTCTCCTTCTTCTCGCTCTGACTCTTTCTACTTGCTTTCTTTTTTTCAAAACCATTTGCGCGATATAATTGCGCGACGTTGCGCCATGCGATTTCCCGCCCAAAAAATCTCTACTTTCCCCCGCCCCAAGAGTCCATGCGGACTACTTTCCACTACCCGGAAAGTCCGTACGGACGGACGTACGCTACGTCATAACCAAATTTTCTGGGATGGATAGTTTACCAAATTTTCTTACCCATGGTGCTCCGCTGCGCGCGCGCTTCGCGCGCGCGGGAGCTCCGCTATAATGTCGGGACTTTTCAGTTAGAAAAATCTGGTCCCATGTGATATGCAGGGTAATAATTACGGGCTTTTAATG